GCATAGGCATCCTATCTCAGATATTTCGCAAGTCGGAAATTTCGCGCTACACCGGAGTGAATAACAATAATTTTTTTATTATTCCCGCCCGACGTATGTATTAAATTGTTGACTAACTGTTGACGAAATCGAGCGACAAGTGTTATGCTTTGTTCTCGCAGAAACGACGTCGTCGTGGTGAAAATCTTTTACGAAACGATGGCTGTGAAAGTCATTACGACCGACTTTATTTACAGCGCCAAAGATTTCTTTGGTATGTTTACATTCGTCTGCCATCGGGCATTAACACCTTAGATTCACTGTAGTCCTCACAAACCCTTACGTCATAAATATGCAACCATTTATTACCAATTACCAATTAATATTAATATTATTATTTCATTTTTTATGATTATGCGATCTGTACCTAGAAATTACAAACGCGGGCTTACTCATTGTTTTCATATAATGTTATTATAGTTGAATACAGTAACAATAAATCCAAGTAAGACGTCCTAAATTGCGGTTTAATTACCAATATATTGGCAGAGATGCAAGAAAACTGATGATGATGACGATGATGATGATGATTATGATGATGATGATGATGATAAGGGGGTGGCTAACCCAACATGGCTGCCCCCATGCAGGGACTCGACTATCTACATCGTTAATTGATGAGCTGGCAAAACAACACGAAAACGCACACTAATAAACAGCAGACATCACAAATAATTATACAATTACAAACACGGATCACCCACACTCTGGTTCCCAGGGAGCCACCCTGCTAGGAACCCGAGGGTCCGGTGCCACCGCTACACAATCACAATTGCATTGAATAACCGAGTTGACAATCAGCGCCGCGCTGCGGATTAGTTCCGCCGGTACCCCATTATTGTGTATTCCTAATAACAGGCGTGCTGAAAAATCGAATGATATGATATTGATACGTCACTATAAATCTAGTTACGGCCTAAAGTCCCACCGGGGGAACAAGAGAATAAGAAGATTAAATATCTGGATCTTTTGTTCTTGTTAGCTCTTTTCTACACGGAAGCGACCTATGAGAAGTGCAATCCACAATGCATTCCATCGTGTGAGGCATTTTCCTACTACGTTAGCACTTCTCACGCAAACTACCCGGGACCACAGGTAATGGATGTGATTGCAGATCAACAAAACTGGTCGGAGCAAGAGACTGAAATATTGCAAAACGTTATAAGGTATTTCCCGGCATGACACTTTTGATGCAGTGATTTTGATGCGTTGTTAGCGTGTCTACCGCTTAAGCAAAACTACAGCTTGATCGGAACCACCGCTTAATCGGGACCACAGCTTAATTGGGACCACCGCTCAATTAGAACCACCAGCTTAATTAGAACCACAGCTTGATCGCAACCACCGCTTAATCGGGACGACTGCTTAAGCGGGACCACCGCTTAAACGGGAACGAGTGTTTAAGCGGGACCACCGCTTAATCGGGACGACTGCTTAAGCAGGACCACCGCTTAAGCGGGAACGAGTGCTTAATCGGGACCACCGCTTAATCGGGACATTTTCGTGGTTCTTGACCTGTGCCAATAAAGCGGAGATCACACACTGTATAGAATAGGAAAATTATGAAGCAATTTTAAATCTGCTCCCCCATAAAACTTGCCGGCGATTGTCTTCGTCACATTCGAGGTCGTCTGCTTTTTTGCTCATCCATAGCAACCACGATAGTGACGCCATCTTTTCTCATTCGTGTTGATGTATATCCGGTGTCGCGCGAAATATCTGACGAGTGCGAAATATCTGAGATAGCCCCGCCCCGCCCCGACCCGACCAATGACAGCTCGTCTTTGTGTTACGATTGGTTGTGTATACTTGAAGGTTTGTGTAAAATACCAAGTTCTGGTACAGGGTAGCGAAGGAGCAGTGTAGGGAGGGGGATGGGGAAGGAGGAGGAAGTTTAGAGTAGTACTAGTAGGTGGAGTAGGGAGAAGCTGGTGAAGAATGAGGAAGGGGAGAAGCTGGTGGAGAAGGAGGAGGGGAGAAGCTGGTGGAGAAGGAGGAGGGGAAAAAGCTGGTGGAGAAAGAGGAAGGGAGGAAGGAGGGGGAGAAGGAAGCTGGTGGAGGAAGAGGGGGAGAAGGGAGAAGCTCGTGGAGAAGGAGGAGGGGAGAAGCTGGTGGAGAATGAAGAAGGGGAGAAAGGAGAAGCTGGTGGAGAAGGAGGAGGGGAGAAGCTGGTGGAGAAGGAAAGGTGGGAGAAGCTGGTGGAGAATGAGGAAGGGGAGAAGGAAGAAGCTGGTGGAGAGGGAGGAAGGGGAGAAGGGAGAAGGTGGTGGAGACGGAGGAGGGGAGAAGCTGGTAAAGAAAGAGGAGGGGGAGAAGGGAAAAGGTGGTGGAGAAGGAGGAGGGGAGAAGCTGATGGAGAAGGAGGAGGGGAGAAGCTGGTGGAGAAGGAGGAGGGGAGAAGCTGGTGGAGAAGAAGGAGGGGGAAAAGCTGGTGGAGAAGGAGGAAGGGGGGAAGAAGGGGGAAGGTGGTGGAGAAGGAGGAGGGGGAGAAGCTGATGGAGAAGGAGGAGGGGGAGAAGCTGGTAGAGAAGGAGGAGGGGAGAAGCTGGTGGAGGAGGAGGGGGAGAAGCTGGTGGAGAAGGAGGAAGGGGAGAAGGAGAAGCTGTTGGAGAAGGAGGAGGGGAGAAAGGAGAGGCTGGTGGAGAAGGAGGAGGGGGAGAAGCTGGTGGAGAAGGAGGAAGGG